GTGGTAAGGAATAGTTTGTTGTCTAACTAACCATTTGCATGCAGGACTCTGTGGGGGTGGGTCTAGGTTTCAGTGTATTAAAACATTAGCTATAACTTGTGGCTTTACCTGACACTAACAGAAGCACTGTCATCTCATACAGTAGGAGTTTGCACTTGACACTGATAGCATTTTCATTGACATAACATAAAATAATAAGGGACCCCAAATACTACCTTGGGAACTCCACAATGCTATCGCAGGGGTCCTGATTCCGTTTTTGTTTGATTTTGACAATTTGTCTCCTGTTGCTAAGGTAGGACTAAAACAAGTCTACAGAACCTATACCGATAGCTTTGAAGTTCTTACATAATACAGTGGACCCCCGCTTAACGATCACCTCCAAATGCGACCAATTATGTAAGTGTATTTATGTAAGTGCGTTTGTACGTGTATGTTTGGGGGACTGAAATGGCTAATCTACTTCACAATATTCCTTATGGGGAAAAAATTCGGTCCAGTACTGCACCTGAAACATCTACATGGAATGAAAAAATCGTTAACCGGGGGTCCCCCTGTATATTGGAGGATACAGTATCGAAGGTCATTTGCAGGTCATGAGGATACCATACTATGAGTTCCCCTTTTGACATTTCATTCTCAGGTAATCCATCAGATTAATTAGGAAGGTCTTGGCTTGAGTAAGATCATCTAAAGCCCGACTGGTACATGGAGAATGTGGTTGTCATTAAGTTACTTAACGTACTTGAGAGTACAACCGCCCTCTCTAGAATTTTGGATATTATACAGGTATACTAACAGGCCTATCGTTGCTGACATCAGACCTACTATTTTTTTTTTCTTGATAGAAGGAGTAAACTCTGGCCTCCTTGAACCCCTCCGTATGGTATAAGTGTGATTTGATAATTTATTATGTGAGCAATAGGGATTGAAAGTTCAGAAGCACCACTTTTAGGAACTTAGATGGAATGTTAGTCAGGGCCTATGCTCTTAGTTGGGTTTAACCTGCTTATCATTTTGAATAAAGTCATGAAGATACACTTACTATTGACAACTGGTTGGGGATTACTCACCCTATATTGGTGATAGTATGTCTGAAACTTATCAGAGTCAGTGTTAAAGGTATTTTGATGCAGCTGTATTTATTTACTAGTGTTGATTGCAACAGATGTGTAGTAGGAATGGAAAGCAATTTGCACCTTAGATGTTTCGTGGCATACCGCTTTATCGATAGCAGTACATATGTTAGACCTATCAACTGCTTTGCTATACCCCAAAGTGTTTTAGTTGTTGCCAGCCTTTCTGGGTATGCTTTTAAAAATAAAAAACCCACATCATTTTTGAGTCAATAGGCTTTGTCTTTCCTCCTTTAGTAAGTCCCTCTGTAACTCTGTCCCTCACCCTTTGGAATTCATTTAGTGCTGCAATATCCTGTCGTCTGCCTTTAAATCTTTTTACAGCTGGTCCTCTGAATTTCATATTATCAAATATCTCATAGTTCATCCCAGGGTTCAGTTTCTTCGTTTAATACTCAACCTCTAACTGGTGCTAGAAATTATCAAGGATGGTACTGAACATTTTTGAACTTTTCCCAAGTCATCGTTTACGTCCGTGCAACTTGTTATCTCGTCCATCACAACCGGGTAGCCTATTTACCAGTGATTCTTACTGGAGTTTCTAGATGACCTTATTTTTATTGTCCAAGTGAAGGCCTATCCCTATCCCTAGTGATTTTCCAGGTGCAGTAAATGAATAAATGATCAAAATACTAAGACCTCTGGTACTGATGCCTGGACTGACTAATGTTCTCAGCGCGGTTACCAAGTATAGTGGGTCCAATTAGGGTGGCGAGAACTGTGTGATCCGGTTGGTGTATTTAAATAGTTGATGTAACTATTAAACCTAGAAATTTGCTTATGCCTGTTTGCATAGCCCCGTTATTTTGCTTGCTGAAAACAGATATTGAAGTCCGCCCAGTATTTATTTGTCTACACAATTGAATTTCAAGTCCCCCCCCCCGGGGGAATACAATACTTTGGAAAAGTCTCTAAGAACTGGTCCTGGTAGGAGGGCGGTAACTAGTTCCTACTAAGATGGGTTTGGTCTTGGGAAGCAGCACTTCAAACCATAGAATCTCCAGTTTATTGTTATTTAAATGTAGGCACATACTCCACCACCCTTTCTGTTCCTATCTATTTTGACCTCGTCGTCAGTCACCGTATCATCCAACCAGGATTCAGAGAATGTTATAACTGCCGGCCCTAAAAAAATTTTGTTAGCTAGAATCTTAATCTCTGCCAATTTAGGAAGAAGTGATCTTGCGCTGACATGAATAAAGTGAAGACCTGTTTTCATAAAACAATTATAATCATCAATATATGGCAATGGGTCATTTGTATTAAAATTAGGTAAATCAATGTCATCAATGCAAAGGGTACTGTGCCCAAAGTGCATTTATACACACAAAATGAATTCAGCACCGTTGTCTATAATTGTAACATAACATCCTGCCTTGGTGGGAATTGGCAGTGTGTTAAAAAAAAAATAAAAAAAGAAAATATACAACAAGCACCCAACTCCCTTACACATTTTACATAAAAGGTGACTTTTTCTTAATCATTGCCGTACATTATATCAGTGTATGCACCTGTCGTTTTGGTAGTGTTTGAGATAATAAATGGCTGTATTGTCTCACATTGACCTATGGACATTACATATGGCGTTTAAGGTTATCGATCCTACTGCAAGACCATCATTATCACCGGTCATCTAAACTGTGTTTGCCTCTGCAACAACAGTTTGAGGTCCTGGATTTATTTGGATATCACCACTTTAAGAGGCTACAATAAGAGCTGTGTGTGCCACTGTTTTATGTTTGGGTATGCGGTGTTGCCATACCTTCGGCGATAGTGACATTTACTTTTTGGTAGGATGGCAACTGTTGGGCATTTACGGTCCAGGCGCTGTTTACTACCATTCCACCTTTTCAGGCCCCCATGACTGATTTTCTTATCCTTCATGGAATTGAAGAAGAAAGATAAATAAATTATGGCAGCCTGTAAACCCTCGCTAATGCCTGCCATTTTTCGCTCTTTGCCTCCTTTCACTCATATACAATAATATTTTATTTCTCTTACCCAGTTCACCTAGTACACTTAGTATTCTGCTTTAGCAACACCACAGAATTACTATAAATTTACTTCTTCAAAAACCCTCTTCACTGCTCACTTTTCCCTAAAACTTCACAAACCCCTTCCATTAACCCCTTTTATCACACTCTCCCTTTCCACCTCTCTTCAACAGTCCCTTCACCTATTAACTGTTTAACTTCCTTTCCATTCTGTTAAACCAGAAAGGGTTAATCAATGGTTTTATCCTGTCCAAATCCCCCTCAATCCATTTATCGGGGGTTTGCGTTGTGTGTTGACTCCTGACCTGGTCTGCTGACTCGGCCAATTTTAAAACACTGAGGGAAGAGTAAAAGCCACCTACAACCTGATCTTTCCTTTGATTTTATAGATATATTTGGCAATTTCAGCTATGAATTCTCACTGTACACGGTCACTACAAAACATTAACCTTGGCTGTTTACCCATTCACTTCTTTCCCACGAATGGTACTGAGGGATAACCAGTCCTAATAACCTTGGAGTTTTTGTACAGTTGATTTGAGATGTCTCCTGTGTTTTCCCCTATGTTAGCACATGGTACGATGATATGATGCTGGTACAGATATGATGCTAACTGATCACAGATGACTTCAATAAAGATGAGAATTTCCAACTCTGCTAGTTGTACGTCTGGGCAGTAGCTGGTGTTTGGATTCCGGTCAGCCCATGTTTTAAATGCTCATTGGCACTGAGGAATAAAAGCCCTACCAGACCTGTCATTTCCTTGGAGTTTTGTGATCAGGTTTTACTGCACTTGCTGTTTCTTCCCTTTTGGGAACACGGTTTGCAGTTGATATGGAAAGGCCCGTTTTTTCACTGTAGGGGGAAAACTTTTTTCATGTCTGGTTAACGTCTGGCAGCGGGTTCGGGGGTTACTTTAAAACCCGGCCCCCCTTTTTTGTCATATTTGGGTCCATTTCTTTGTCGTAAACCAAATTCAGTTTTTATGTCATTATATTTTCCTTGCATTTTGTTGCGGGCAGTACTTGCAATTTGGCCATCATTGGAAAAGGCCCAAAGCCCAGGGGACGGCAAGATTTTTGGGAAACCTTTTGCGTTGGGCTGCGGCTGGGGACTCCCAGTTAAAAAACGGGGTTTTTCGGGCATTTATGGGTTTTTTCAAAATGTATCAAAGTTACCGGGAACATAAAAATGAAACTATTGAAAATAATAAAAATCTACAACACTTACCATGGTGCTTCTCAGCATATAAGAAGGAATTAAAGCTTTGGGAAAGTTTGGAGAGGGTTTTTTACCTATTTTGGGCAATTAATTTTGACTCCCAGTATCTTCTATAGTTTTTCCCCGGCCCGACTGTCTCTTTTTAACAAATTTAACCCCGGGGGAAAAAAAAAAAAAATGAAAAAAAAAAACATTCTCGAAAACCCAACCTTGTCCCACTATTAGTACATGCAAGCATTTTTTTGCCCGAAGGAAATTTTAAAATTTCTATAATCCCAAATTTAGTGAAAAACATTTTAAAACCCGTAAGGGTTATAAAAGGGAAAGGGGGTGTATAGGGCCCCTTTTGGCTTACCCCTTCTTTTTTATTAAAAAAATAATAAAATAAAATAAAGGGAAGGGGAAGATGGGGTTTTAATTCCTTTTACGTTAAGAGTCCTTTAGCTGTATTAAAAAGGGATCCCCCCTTTAGGGGTTAACTTTTTGTGTTTTTTTTTTTTGAAATTAAGAACAGTAATTAAATTACTAAATATGCTGAGTCTTTAAAGAAAGAATACTATAATGATTTCTGAATTTTTCAAAATTTATTTAAACTTAATTAATTCTTTGAAGACTACACATATACATGTCATGAGAACTTAAACCCACAACTGGCATAATTATTCAAAGAATCATTATTATCTCACCTTACTCTTTGTGAGATCCCCTTCAAGTTCATGGCTGTGTCCATGAGCATGACCATTTCCACAAAAGATATTGTGGAAGCGTTCCAAGAAAAGGAATAAAATTATTCCGCCTAGAGCAGTGTAGCCATAAAATGCATGCAATACATGCGTACTGCCACTCGACGAAATGTCCATGGTTAAGGCCTGAAAAAGATATTACCTTATGTATTGTGTAAGCAGCAGATGATGCAAAGACTCTTTTTAACACTGTTGTCACCCACCAAAGTAGGGCAACCTAAGAGAAGAAGCACTTTTATCATCATACATTCAATCACTGCCTTGCTAGAAGCATGCTGACATGACAATTCAGATGATCCTCTGAACTGCAATCTCCCCATCTTTTCTTCTGAGTACAAGCACCATACTTCTCAACTCCAGGACTCTTAAGTCCAGTTAACCAGCTTCCTTGAATCCCTTTGTAAATGTTATGTTACTCACACTCCAACAGCAAATCGTAAAAGCCACTTGCCTCTACTCTTACATAACATGTGCACACAAGCCTGATAGAGGTCCAAACTTGTACCCACTCGAAGCTTCCCTTACTCCCTCACTCCAACCCTTCCTGGGACAACCCCTACCCCTCCTTCCTGCCACTCCAAAATTAAATGCTCTCCTAGTCAACCTAATTTTGCTCAATCCTCTTTCAATGTCCTCTTGTGTACAATGTCCTGTTTGTGTACATACCATACAAATATTTTTTTATGGTGGTCTTGAGGGTACACGAGTGTTGTGGACACACAAAACCTTGGGGAGCATTAAAAATAAGTTGGACAAATATAAGTGAGAAAGGTTGAACTGGAGATGGGCCCACTTAGCTTAATTAAGCCAGTCAGTCTACTGCAATGTTCCTTTTTTGTTATGTATTTTTTGTTATTTTTACATACCTTTTTGTGGTAGTATGAGCTCATAAGAAGGGGTATAACTATTTGGCTATTTATTTTGGAAAAAAAAAAAAAAAAAAAAAAAAATATATATATATAATATATATATATATATATATATAATATAACTGGTAATTTTTGGTAGTGTAGTAAGATGTACACATAGTAACATAACTAACATGAGGTAAGAGATGAATGAGGGCATCTCCTGCTAATGTTCCTACAGCCAGGGCCATCAGGAAGCGGTTGACTCGGTCGTAATGCTGACCACGTTTCAATGCAGGGATCAGCATGATGCATGCCAACCCTGCGAGTCCAATAACAATCATGCTTGTTACAGCTCCAACCCAACTTTCTGTAAGAATAAACAGAGGCATATAAGCACAAAACAAGTTAAACAAGATACTGTACTTTAAGGGAGGAGAAAACTCATGCTATTGCAAAGAAGTACGTATTTTGATATCTCTATTACACTATACCACCATCTCTGAGTACACAGCCCACCACAAAAGCCAGGACCATTTTTATCTCATACATGTGCCCACTTACTGACTCATTTCATGGTACAATCGGCTCTTACCCAGAGTAAATTTTCCACTATCACTGTTATAGCTTCGATGACTGTGCGAATGTCCATGGCCCCCATGATCATGTTCATCTGTGTGATGAACAGTCATGGTGCAAGTATCCACATAGTTGACAAGGCCAGGACATAGAGACAGGAACTCACGTGCTGTCACAGAGTCACTGATCGATAATCTTGATCCTTCTAATACATCTGCAATCCCCTCACACTGAAAAATATTAAATTAAATTAGTTACATTATATACACCATCCTGTAACACTCAACAGGTTGACACAATGATGATGAAAAAAATTACTCGAGATAAATCCACAATATTTGAAACATCAAATAGATTCTTGTACATATCATTTGCCATTAAAATCAAAACTGTATCTCTTTACCCTAACAAAACAAGCAATTGTGTAACTAGCTGTTTCAAACAACAAACCACTCATAATGTATCCAGTGTATATATAAAAATCCTTACAAAGTCTAACGAATGATACACAGGGCAATAGGTAAAACTTAATCAATAGCATTCTGGAACTTTCCAGACTGTTAAGAATCATAATTATATTATTAAAAATGAAGTTGTTTCTATTCTATATAGAAGAAATTGCATGAAAAGTATGAAATTCTTGAGTTAACTATAATTGCATCTCGTATCAATTTCAGCCTCACACAAGGCCAGTGGAAACCTGCTGCTGTAACTGTCTTTGTCCTGAAGTCAGTTGTTCCTGTACTTGACTTAGATCATGTTTTTTTCCTTTGTACACTTTTTTGTTAGGTGATAAAAGATCTCAATGTGAGGTCAAAATATAAATTATTCATCTTACCATGTTTAACTTTTTTCCACGAGGTTTAAAATCTGTACCAGCGAGCTTTCTTTGAAGGCTTCATGATGCCCCCCCTCATGCCATTTGTGCTGCTAAACAGCATTTATTATAGATAAGTAAGACACACATGCAATAGTTGATGAAATGTTTTGTCTGCACAGTAGGTTTTCAGTGAAAATGCAGAGAACTATAAAGACAGCAGGGAGCAGAGGAGGATAATGATGGTGACTGATAATGAGAGTGATGACTGATGAAGATGCAGCAGCAGTGGTGGTGGTGGCAGCAGCAACAAAAGTGAAAGCAGTAGTACTGGGCTACCAGTACAGCCTCTATTGCTACCATTGCCTCTCCCTAATCCTCCATCTCTCATATATTCTGGCCTCCTTCCTTCTCGCTTCTGTGTGACTTTTCAATGGTCCAAGTCAGACTGAAATATCATTGCTTTCTTTCTCCTAAGTGCAGGGTATTTGTCTATTGTTTCAGCCTTTGAATTGTGACTTTATATTCTTTTTCAAACCACTTAAAGCACCTGTAAATTTTGAAAGTGAAAAACTCTTAAAAGTTCCCAGAGGTCCATACAGGTAACCCAGTAATTGCAAAAACCATTAAGTGAAAAGGCCAAAGAAATAGACAGATTCAATGTGCTACACTGTCAGTAACATGTCAAAAGTCATACAGAGAGGGGCTGAAGCACCTAGTAGTAGATGGGTGAGGTGTGTGTGCATGATACTCAATCTATGGAGACCCTTCTCAAGGTGACAATTGCTGCTGAAAGAGGAGGGCCAAATACCTGTCCTACCACTCTTTATACCTTGTTGCTTGTCTGTAGGGCCCACATTGCCCACCACTTTCCAATGGGCGTTGTCATGTATGTGGCCCATAAATTTACTATGATACATGTTCTGCTATAAAGTAAGCTTGAAATAACCTGAGCAACAATAGAATTCCACGTCCTTCTGCTAGGCATAAAGATGTGCTGACCACGTCTGGGACTAATAGAACACAATGGGAATCCAAGTAGACAGTGAACCAGAATCCATTTAACCGAGTATTCAAGAAGAGAGTAACGAGGATCACCTGGAGTTCCACAGAGAACATGTTTGGCAACTGTGCACAATAAAAGTCCTCCAGGGTGATCACTGCAAAGCCAACCTCTCTGCTCTCAGATACATTGAGGTCACATTCTAAGAAGGCAGGCCCACACCTATACAAAAAACAGCACGTACATAATGGTACACAATACCGACAAACTGAAAATAGATACAAGAGCAACATCTTGGTATCTTTATTGTAGACATTTCCGCCATCCACTGGCTTTTCAATACAAATTCCAAGGACATAACTGGAATAAGAACTATATACAAAAGATAAAGGTAATCAGTCGCTCAGTCTTGAAATTGTGCTCTTCACACCAATTCAAGGCTTATAGACTAATTCCCTCATCTTTGTAATATAGCCCTTATCTCCCAGTTATGGTCTTGAATTTATAATAAAAGGCCAGTAAATGCGAAATGTCTACAATAACGATACCCAATTTGCATGAGTCTAATTATCCATGAAACAGCAAAGGAAGACCCTTCACAGCCAAAGGGCTGCACTCTCTTCTATGAAGGTAAATGATGGTAGTGTAAACTGAGTTTTCAAGATGTCTACAGAACAGAAATAGGTAATGCAGTCGCAGCTTCTAACGGCAGAGATCCAGGGACAAACTCACTAGGAGATTTTGCATAAATTTAGGTCTCAACAGGGCAAGTACAGAATACCAACAGCGCAAAGCAATATCTGAATCTCAAGATGTTGGGCAGGGGTCTAGCAGGTAAAGAAAGATAGACCTGAGAAGTGACGTATATATGGAAGCCATGCTCTAGCTGGACAGAGAAGTAATGTATATATGAAGATGCAACTTCCCCCCCAGCCTGAAAAGACACAAGGCCGCATGATAGAGAGCATGGTCCCCCAATACTTTCCAAGTGAGTTGTTTTTTTATTAGCTACAACGGCGCTGTGCATCAGAGCCCTGAAACATTAAAATGTAAATAAATACCGACAGGTAGTAAGGTACGACACATATGCCAACAGTAGGTAACTTTATTGTGAAACGGTTCCCAACACAGTAGCTACTTCAGTCAAGTACAGAAAAGTTGATAGAAGCAGAAGATACTTTGAAGACGATGTAATCAGTCCATCACCCTTAAAGTTTTGATGTGGTCCAGACCCCACATCCTGGAGAAGAGCATTGTTCCATAGTAAATGAAAGCCTACTGTGTAGCGAAACGTTTCACAATAAAGATACCTAACTGTTGCATATGTGTCTTACTAACAGTATGAGCCTACTCCCATAAGTCTAGATTTAAACACCATCACTTGAAACTGGCCATCCTATTGGAGGTGCGAAAAGCATATGCTGGTAGAGGACCTTTGAAGGGTAACAGTGAGGCCATTCTCCCCTTCTCAAGTGATGAACGTCCAGGATTGAACGTTTCCTGCTCTTGTTAGGTTACTTCCTGCCAAATTATGAAGTTTTAGTTTATCATACTGATGATTAAATATAACCTAACCCATCCTAATTAAAGTAAAGAAAGTAGATTGTAAAACTGGAAGCTCATTATAATTTTTTTTTTTTTTTGTAATTTATTAAAAACTTCATGTACAGATATTAATAGGTACATATAGCAAAAAAATGATCAATGACAACATCAGTAAATCAATATATAAACACAAACAATCCAGGCAACATCTGCCAGTTACTATATACAAGTTTTATAACATATCACAATTTAAGAAGGAATAAAGTTATAAATAACAAAGGCCACAAAATGGCTATTAATAAAACTCCTAAAATTACAACCTCAACACAATAATGCCCAAGCTTATGACAATCACCACATAATACCACCCTCAACAAATACACCAGACCTACAATATGCCTTATGTAAGAAACCTGTGCCTGCAACACAGGTGACCCATCATCCCCCCCCACTCCCACACACACATTGAAACTCCAACCCTATCACCAACCTGAATAATCATGACATTAATTATCCTCAATTAGGATTATTATGAACACTGTCACTTGAGGAATGCATTATTTACAACCGATGAATGGTACAGACACCAAAATTACAATACCTTAAAAATGAACAATATAATAGTAATTACTACCAAACTGATGCTGGCCCCTTTACAATAAAACAAAAATAACTCAGTGCTTCAAGGAAATAGTGAACAGGAAAACCCTCTCAAAAAATTCAAATTCTATTGCAATACCAGCGTAATGGAACATAATAACGCTCCAAAGAAATATACAGTTATATAATTTATGTACTTATTTTTTTAATTTACATTTATATATTTAATCTGCTCCGAACACCTTCCATCAGGGAAATAAGCAAACTTATCTTGCACAACCTCTCATCTGGTCACACACAGTTCCTCCAATCACACCCAACCACTCACTCTGCATTCCCAAGGAGGAGAGCCCGTTGAAATCCCCTTAACCCCCCCCCCCTGTTTTACCAACCCACTCACCCCGGCAGTTAAAGCCCTTATAACGCCAATAAAATCCCTATTGTTTAGTCCCCCTCATATTACCTTCAGAAAAATACTCTTCCCACCTTTCCCAAAAATGTCTCTGTGCGACACAAAGTTCGATAAACGTCGCCGCCAAAGTCCTTCTCAGCACTCCCCACCCACCTTCCCCCTCATACCCCATAAAAACATATATGTAGTCCACGATGACATATGCTAAACCTCTTACCACACTCTCCCTCCACACCACTCATATCCAGACTCAACGCTCGCAATACCGCCACACCTTGGCCCCCCACCCTCACCAGCTACCATACGCATCCAAACCCTGATGCACTCCAACCTTCACAAAAATAGACAGACATGATACGCATTCTCTTCCCCACTGCATCTCCACACCCCCCACCCTCATAACCTCCTGTCACCGGAGCATCGCTCCCATTGGGGCAAAATCCCATGCAGGAAACGGTACATAACCTCACGCTCCCTAGGTCGTATCCTTAATTAGTACTAAACCTTCTCCATATTACATCCCATGCATACATGGGTAGATCCCTTCAACCGGCGCACTACATGTCTCTCTAACAATATACACAACGTTCCCACCTTTACTTTTCCTGGATCCCTGGCTAACATTAAGGCGCGTAACACTGTCCGCGCATTCCATCATTTCCGCCCCTCCATACCATTCCTCAGGTGAGCATGTACCTTATCTAGCTGACCCTCCCCATCCACCTGCACTCATCACTCCCTCTTAATAAACACACAATTGACGCGCTTTCTCAAGTCCAACAAACCCAACCCTCCCCTACATACCGGCAATGACACTACCTCCCTTCGCAAATCCCAGTTGCACCTGGA